TGTCCATGGATAGCAGAAGAGGGTGCCAGATCCTTTGAGCCAGCAGTTACTGGTTGTGAGCAGCAGATGGTTGTGAGCTGCCATGTGGGTGCTGGGAATTAACCCAGGACCTTTGGAAGAGCAGCCAGTGCTCTGAATCACTGGGCAGTCTTTCCAACCCTTTACCTGGAGTTTTTAATCTGTGTAAAAGGAGGCTTCCAGCCTTATTTTTCCTTATATGGATAGCTGACTGGGTCACCTCATTTATCAATAGTGCGTCTCCTTTCACTGGTAATGCTGTGATCCATACTCTCTCCATGTACCTTACTGCATGTGAATTTTCTTTAATCCTTCTATGCAAGTACACTTGCTTATTTATCTATCTATTTATTTATTTATTTATTTTATTTGTGACTGACATTATACAATATTGTCTTAATTACCATATTGAAGTTTTCAAATACATAATTGTATATCTTTCTGTTTGGGTTTAAATAGTGTGGGCTTTTTGTGACTATCCCTGTAAGAATATCAAATCATCAAATTCCATTTAAAAACCTGTTGTGATTTGATTTGAATTATATCTTGGGGATATTTTACTTCTGTGTAGTTTCTATACCTAAATTTGAATTTTATTGCTTTATGCTTTAGATTTATCTTATACATTTAGCATACTAGATCCCCCTTCTCCTTCTGAGTCCATTCTCCTGTTCCTAAAGCACACCTTGTGGAATTCTTTCATAGAGGTTCTGAGCAGTAGGAGTCGTTGAATATTTATTTTGCAATCAGTGAATGTACTTCTTCAGAGGTGACAGTCTGTACCTGAGTTGCCTGGAGTGTAGCAGGCTGAGCCTAGTCAGCTGTCCAACCTTTTCATTAGTGGCATACTTCAGGACAAACTCTTTCCTTTGGTTGCCTTTATGCAAAAATTGAATGCCCAAGGCTTATCAAGATCCAGTTCATCTACCCTAAGTCAAGACAATACTGAAGAAATGTCTCAGATTCCAACAAGACCTTCACTGACAGTGTTGTTCAGGTCAGCTCCTCCCTCTGTCCAGTCTGTTACCACCCATTCTACACCTGCTGTGCCCAAATGCTTTCCCAAACAGACTGCCTCTGACTGATTCAGAGTGTTTTTCTAAGGCAGATAGTGCCAGGTCTTCTCCATAAAGGTAGAAACTAAGATAGGATTTATGACTTGAACAAAGGCCACTTTACTGCTCTGAGGACCTTTTACGAGGTAACAGTGTAGTGGTTAAAGTCTTCATCAATAACGAACTGGGATGGTATTCTAATAGAAGGTACTTATCTAATGGATACAGTTTATCAAGCAAATATGAGAGAAACAGTAATTTTAAGAACAATGGCAATGCTGTTGCTAAGTAAAATTAATTATTTGAGAACAGAAAAAAAAAGACAAAAGTGCTTAATTGGATTTTAAAATCTAACAGTAAAATGGAGTGGGTTCTGCTAGGAAATGAAGAGGCTTTTTTATTCTTCAGTAGGAAGGCGGAAAAAAACTGAGGAATCAGCCCAACTCTTAATCATAGGTGTGGCTGATCTCCAAAGGAGATTAAGCATAAAACCTGGGGAGCATAGCTGTTCCAAGATCAGGACACTGGTGAGACTGAGACTCAAGTGCAAGCATCTGGCTCGTGACACCTAAAAGTCTTACATTTACAGTTCTTCCAATTAATGTGTCCCATTTCTGCAGTTAATTGTGAGTGTCTCTGCAGCCTTTCTGGCCAGCAGAGGGATGAGCATGGAAAGCAAGGGGGCAATTTGGCTCAACGTGACTCAGCAGCCAGGTGTTGGTTCAAACTTCAGGAGTCTGACCCCTACCCCACCCCACCCAGCTGTTTATTTTAGGCAAATTTAAGCCCAGAACAATTTGGTGAGAACTATTCTAATGATGATAATTAACTCAATCCCTCCTTCACAACGAAGCATACACAACTCTCTTTGAGGAAAAACATAAGCTAAATACAGATCAGATATGATTACATGGAAGCTCTTTCTAAAGTCTACAGAGATAGGTTTTTTAGATTGACTGACAGCAGGTTTACGATTAACTGAGAAAACATATTTACAATAAGGGTCTGAGGAGAATCCAGTCCCTGAAAAGTCTCTGGCTATATATATAGCACAAAGGTCACCAGGCTAGAAAGCAGTCCACTGCAGCCTTCTGGGTAGATATCAGGTTTTTCATGCCTTCCCTTGAAGGGACACATGGTGAGCTTAGAATTTCAGGTTCCCCTCATGTTTATCCATGAGCACAGAAATCTTCATGCCTCCTACAGTTACTAGCTAATCCTCTCTGTTACTTGGAATCCACACAGATACCTCCTTAGAGTCTTTCTCCAGTTCCATCTATACACTGGGCATATGGCTAATGTTCAGTTAGAACATAAGTCGGCACAAATAATGTAATGAATGGTAAGAGCTGTGTGGCTGTAACAAGGCAGATGACCAGCAGAAGGCTAAGGAGATGCCTGCTAGGTATGGAGTTCCTAGAGACAAAGTGGATGGGCAATAAATAAGGATACTGTTCAGTTTGTGCACTTATAAAAAAAAAAAAACAAAAAAAAACAAGAAGCCAGATATGGTGGTTCACATCTATAGGCATAAGGTTACTGTGTAATTCAAATCCTGATTTCTGTACCCTCCCCTATGCCCATGCCTGGTTGCAGTCCTTGTTCTGAGAATCTCCTGTCTCAGTGTTGTGTAAACACTGCTCCACAATTATCCTGATATGCCAGTAAAGCACCTTACAGCTAATTAATTGATAAGCAGGGGAGAGACTAGGACTGGACTTCCTGCCAGCAGGGGAGGAGAAGTAAGAGAAGAGGAATTAGGAGAGGAAGAGGAAGCAGAGATCCAGGTGACATGAGGAGAGGAGCTGAAGCAGGGAAAGCTAGAAAGTGCAAGTATCTTGGGATGTACTCGGGGAGGAAAACAGAATAGCTTGGAGGGTTAAGAATAGAGTAATAACTGCTCAGTTATTGTGCTGTGAAGCTTGTTATTAAACAAATATAAAACAGTCTCAATTATTTGTGTGATGGCCAGGTTAAGAGAGAAACTGAGAAACAGTTTTATAAGACTAACTTTAACACATGTCTGCAATCCCAGCACTTGGGAAGCTGAAGTAGGACTGTGGGCTCAAATGTGTGGGCCACATAATAAGACTAGACTGAAGGAGGAGGTGAAAGGTGGAAGGAAACACATGAAACTCAGAAGCACATGATCAGGAGGATGTTGTTAATACTCCAATTATGAGCCGGGGTTTCTTCACTTATCTATGCATTTTGTATAGGAAAGTATAGTCATTTTCACTTGACAATACTATTTATGTTAATATGAAATAGGTTTACTAGTATCAATTTTTAATGAAGTATTTAAATTTTTTTATCAATTTTCAAGTTATCAGTAGTCCTTCTGACAATAGGGAAACATTCAACCACTGAATTTTGTTACAAGCCCAAGAGAATATAAGGGTTCCTACTACACTCAAGCCAAAATAGCTATGTAATTTTGGGTCAAGTTGCATATTATCTCCCTGTTTCTTCATGCATTAAAATTTTAAGGGCACACAAGCAAAGTGCCTAGAATGCAAGGAGAAAAACCCAGAATGCATATTAGCTGTTACCCCCATTTTCTGTTTGTGAAGGAGTATCAAAGAAACTGGGGACAAATGGCTAACTGTGGTGCACATTGGCATATACCAAACCACATGCTGACCAGCTCACTCAGGACATGGGACTCCACAAAGCTCTTCTCACCTCATCACCTATCCTAAACTTCGCCAGCTCGTGGACTTCCCTTCCCTAGCTTCTCATTCCTACAGAACCCTGCCATTTGGGCCATGAGTTCCCTTGGCCCTTTTGTTCTCTTGATCCCCTCTCTTGTCACTCTGTCCTTTGTTTTCTCTCTCTCTTTTTTCTTCCTTCCTTTCTCTTCTCTTTCTCTCTGTCTCTCCTCTCATGGCTGGTTCAGTCTACTGACCATGCTTAGTCTACTACCTTCTCTCCCTGCTCTGGACTCTTCCAGATGCCTTTGGCTGTTCTCTCTGGTATCTACAATAGAAACTTCTCCTTAACCATACCTTGGAGCAGTCATGTCCTCGTTTTATACAAAGAGGAGGAGGTGGTAATGTCTGCTGAAACTGATAAACGTGGTGGAAGGTTGAGAAAAGGAAGGCTGTTTTGATATAATGTGGTAAACGGGAATGATGCAGTTGATTAGGAAAATAGAGGACAGAAGGAAAATCTTGAGAGGTTTGAGATTAGTGACATAGACACCTGCTTATGCATTAGGCCTCTGGCCAAAAACGAAAATGAAAATCAACCAACCAACAAACCAACCAAAAACCACTGAGAAAATCAATATAAGAAGGAAAAGGTTCATCGTTTAATTATTAAGAGTAGAAAAGAAAACATGACCACAGAATACAGAACAGCAAGGACAGGTTAGGAGCCTTGTAAGCCAAGACACTCAAGTTCGGATTTCACTGATGAAGCAGCTTTCTTTTGGAGCTGAACCTCAAGGTGTGGTCACAAAAGTGGAGTCCTGGAATATAGTAAAGGTGATAGCAAATGGCAATGAAGAAATCAAAAGACCAAGATGAGAAGTCTTCCATGGGATGTGAATGTGAATAAAGGTAAGGGCAAAACTATGGATGGGTATAAAATAGCTATACTCAGGAATAGAAGGTATGACTTTCAGAGTTATTTAAGGCAGTCTTGTGGGAAAGTATACTGAGGGCTCAGCAACAGAGCAGAAGCCGAGAATGTGATTTGCTCACAAAGAAACAGAACACACACAGCAAAGTGCCACCAAAAGACAACCTCCGAACTCAGAACGCCAGTGTTGTGAGATAACCAATAAAAAGCGGGACTTGAGGTCTCTGGTGCGCATGCCTATAATGCCAGCGCTGAGAGAGGGAGGAGGGTCATGGTTCACTGCCAGCTTCCACTTACTATGTCTCAGAAAACAACAAAGAAAAAGAAAATGAGATGTAATACCTGTCAGGTTCACGGATTTCAAAAGTTCAGGCAAAAAATCGCTATCAAATTTATTTTTCTCTTTCAAAAATTTTTTGTGGGTTCATCTTTCTGTTGCTCTTGGTCTTTTTAATTCTCTGTAAATAATAAAATAATAAAATTAGATTAAAATAATAAAATCAGAATACGATAACGCAGGTCTAGAGGTCCTGCAGCTCTCAGTTCCCTATTTTCCTTCTCAAGCCTGGAGTCAAGAAGGCGAGCGCCCCTGCGCGGGAAGTGGCGAGGTCGGAGCGGAGCAAACAGAACGGGCGGGGCAGTCTAGTCACTTCCGCTGGACTTGTACAGTCGGGGAGCGCTGACGTAGGGGGACATCCGGTCTGCTTCCCACTGTCGGAGACCTGCCCGTTCTGCCTTCGAACCGCGGACCGATCTCCCTGGAGTTCTGGCCTGCGGGTTGGACTCGCCTCTGCGTCCTCGACCACTGCGGTGAGCGGCGCGTCCCCGCGAGGCTGCGTGACGTGGGTGGGCCGGGAGAGCGTGGGGGAACCGCGGGCGGCCGGCGGGTCGCGAGCCGCGTGGGTATCCGCGCGCCCCCGCCTCCAGGCCTCCCGCTACTGCTCTGCTGTCGCTGGAGTCCAGGCTTGAGCTGTAAGAATTCCCTCGTCATTGGCACAAACAAACCCTAGAAATAGGCCTGAGATGTCTCAGTGGGCAGAGAATGCATCCACGGTCACCCGCGGTCACTCATTCAGCTATACGCTCCAGACTTCAGTTTTAAATATTGACGGAAGGCCCCGTGGGTTGGCCACGATCATTAACCACCAATTAGCTCTTTCCGAAAGGATCGGGCATTGGAATCATCAAACAGAAGCCTAGTTTTCTAAATTGTAGTTTTTCTGAGTGCTGAAAACCAGTTTTGTAAGGTTGATGGGAAACAAACTCCGAGGCATCTGGCCTGTAAAATTGTTGCTTCTACGTCGGAGCGAAAGGCAGCGAAAGAACTGTATAGTTCCTTAATCTTCAGAGAAAATGGGTTGGCTTTGCAGTCAGTGCTCGGCTTGCTTGATATTTATTTAGAAACCATCAAGGTGAGCATGTATTGTGTAATACTGTGTGTTGGCCACATTAGGGATGTAGCTTATATCTAAAAGTGGTTGTTTCACCTTGGCACAAAGTGAGTGGTTAGTCATTTCTTATGGTGCATACACAGATTTTTTTTTTTTTTTGAGTAAGGGGAGAATAGTTATTTAGAGTGGAAAAACAATTATTCTGGCTGGCTTTTAGGGTGAGCTCTTTGATGCCTATGCTGTTGTATAGTTGTTTGGTAGCACAGAATAGGGTCTTATCAGAAGTCTACAGCTGTGTGTAATGTTGCTAAAAGCTTTAACTGTAGAAGTGATGAGGGGACTTTAGTATTTAAGGAGCGTTAAACACGTTGTAAGTGAATCAGGCAATTATAGCTTTTCTGTTTTCTTGTTTAGAAAAAGGGAGAAATGCCAAAAAAAAAGACTGGTGCGAGGAAGAAGGCAGAGAACCGCCGAGAACGGGAGAAACAACTCAGGGCATCAAGAAGCACTGTGGACTTAGCCAAGCACCCATGCAATGCTACAATGGTAAGAGCTTTGAAAAAAACAAATGGCTGGTGATTCAAAGGAAAAACTATGTAGTACCATACATAAAGTCTGTCAGAAAAGAATAGCAACTACAGTGTGCCCATTTGTTCACTCCATGAAAAACCTGTTAGAGGCATATTCACTATTTTTGCTAAGTAATAGTGATTTTTTTTTTAGTTAGAGTATGTTATTACTTATGAAGTCTGGCCTATTACCTTGTGTACTGCTGGTGATAAGAGATATTGAAGTAGAATGAGTAAGAGGAATGGAGTGAGAGGTTCTAGCTTGTCTATACTCTTTAGCTCAGTGCTGTCTTATTTATTGGGCTTTCATCATTTTCTTTTAGCCATTTTCTCATTCTTCTCTTGCTGAATGCCTTAATTTCTAGACATATCCTATTTTCTTTTTTCTTTTTGGTTTTTTCGGGACAGGGTTTCTCTGTGTGGCCTTGACTGTCTTGGACTTGCTTTGTAAACCAGGCTGGCCTGGTCTGCCTCCCTGAGTGTTGGGATTACAAGTGTGAGCCACCGTGCCCTGCTCATATTCCATTTTCTTAACTAATTTTGCCTGTGCTAAGCAGGTTGGTTTTAGAATGTATGACTTTTAAATACTTTATTTTCATGGCTTAATTTGGCAAATTTTTATTATTTGTGGCAACAGGTATTTGCATAACTCTGTGGGTGCAACATTGATGGCTGATAGAGTGCCTCTTTAATATGTTTGTAGAATTCCCTAGTGTCACGTACTGTGTAGGACTTGTTTGTTTATGAATGACAGAAACACAATTTTAACTTTAGAGAAAAGTAGTTCACCAGAGTAGTAACTCCCAAGTATCAGGAAAGAGAATAGATATAAAGGATGCAGGACAAGTAGATCCTGGGACATTCTTTGCTTTTGCTTTTTTTGCTCCTGCTGCTTCTGAGGACTGTCAAGCTTTATTTGTTTCTCTTCCTGGTTTCTGGTACTGTACATATATCACATCTTATATTGTGGAGGCCACAGAAAGTTCTTATGAGTTGGGAGTCCTTTTTGTTGTTGTTGTTGTTGTTGTTTGTTTGTTTGTTTGTTTTCTTTTTTTGTCCCAGGACTGATTTATGGTGTTCAGGGTCAGGTTTCATGGTACAGATGTGACAGTGGGAACAGTATGGTGAATATCAGATTCTTTTTAGAAAAGAGGAATGCTAAATAGACAAAATGAAGTGACCAGCATACATAAGGGTATGTAATAAGAGTACAAACTGACTATCATACGTAAGTGTATGTAATGAGAGTAGATGTTGATAAGTATTTCAGTAAAGGGAAAAGTGTTAGTGTAAATAAAGGCATGGAGAAAAGAGTGTAGGACATATTGGGAAAAGGCTGGCCAGTAGTGACTCAACTCTAGAGAGTACACCAGACTAGAGAGCTTTGAAAGCCCTATTTAAATGTAGATAGATTATGATCTTTATTATTTTGTGTCCTTCTTTATTTCTAGCATGTGCTCAACATAGGCAAAGAGGAAATAGAAATGGAGCAGGGACTTGTGTCTGTTTTCTGTAGTGCTTGGTTTCTTTAAAGCAACAAAAGCAAATGCAGTATATATAACTTCTTTTGCAATATAGCTTCTTCCATTGTGGAACACGGGGTGTAACTTTTTGTTTATATTTGCTAGTGGAGTATGTATAAGAGCTTGTACACATGGCTGGAGTTGGAATTGGGGTGGAGAGCCAGTTATATTTTAATGTGGGAAAGAAAATAGTCTTTATAATGTAAGTGAAATTTCCATTTTTCAGCCAGCAGAAAATTAATGTTTTCTTTTAAATTTTTCAGGAATGTGACAAGTGTCAGAGGTAAGTTTTTAAAATTTTTCTTTCTGTATGAAATTGTCCTTGTGTGCTTTTTGTTGTTGTGATAACACTTGGGGAAGAAAGGTTGTATTCCATCTTAGAGGAAAGCCAGAGCAGGCGCTCAAGGCAGGGACCTTGGGGCTGTAACTGATGCAGAGACCACAGAGGAATGCTGCTTACTGGCTTGCCTCCATACTCAAGGCCAGCTACCTTTCTTACAGCACCCAGGAGTACCTGCCCTGGATGGCAGTGCCCACAGTGCAGTAGTCCTCCACCATCAATTAGCCACGGAGAAAATGCTCCACAGACACTGCCCACATGCCAATCTGATGGGGGCAGTTTCCACAGTTGAGGCTCCTTTTCTCAGATACTACAGTTTGTGTGAGTTGACAAAAACTAACCAGCACAGCGATAAATTAGTCTCAACCTTTATCTGAAATTGACCCTATTTAAAATTTTTGTTTTCCATGACAAGGCGGCAGAAGAATAGAGCATTTTGCTATTTTTGTAATTCTGTTCAGAAGTTACCAATTTGTGCACAGTGTGGTAAGTATACAACTATGAAGGCATGTCTTTATTAAACGTTTGTCTGGCAGTTATCAAGTATAGATGGAGCTCTTTCCCTAAAATAATTCAAAAATAAAACTAAATGGTATTTCTAGAGAAGAAAGTAGTCCTCTCAGGCTCTCATTGTGCTAACACCTCTGACCAGAAGGCATACACATTAGAGTTGCAGTCTTTGCCATGTCAGTCTTGTCTGGGGGATTTCTAGTGTCTGTTCATGAAGACTTGCGTTAGGGTAATCAGCTTTACTCCCTTGCTTTTCTGTTTGAACAAATAGTATAACAATTTGGGGTGACTGTTGATATGTGCTTGTGCCGAGCTGTAGGGGAGAGTAGGAGAAAAACTGTCTTTGTTTCACTAAATGCAAGTGAATGAAGGGTGAGAAGACAAGTTTGTGGGCTGGTAAAAGGCAACTGCTGCATGTTCAGTGTATGAGGCTTGGACTTCACAGAGCTGTATGTGAATGCATTTTCTATTGCAGAGTCTGCCCTGTGTCCCAAGTTTTTCTTACTTCTTGTTATTTAACTCTGCTTCTCGGGAATCTAGATGCTTGCAAACTGAATATCTTCTATTAGTAATATGTCATTACTAATCTTGGCATAATGTCTGATAAGCAGATTTCCTAGCAAGTCCGGGTTTGGTAATTTCCGGCTCTGTGATTTTTATATATGGTTAAACTTAAGTGCAACAATTTGGGTCCATAATTATTTGGTGCACCTTTTGATAGTGTGTGGCAAGAAGTAACTGGCACATCCAAGGATTCATGAATATAAAATTCATTTGAAAGCCAGTTTTTACAGTGCTTTGATTCACTCAAACCTCATAAGATTTGAAACTGTCAGCATGATCATCAGATTACATGCATAACCTGGAACTTCTGCTTTTATTACAAGTTTGAATTGGAATGTTCCATATAAATTATTATATAACAACTTTTACAGATTAGAACATTTCTAATCTCAGAAAATCTGACTAAGGTAATGAGATATGTTTGTTTTTTTTTTTTTTTCAATCTATGTAAGTGGTTAAATACAGTGGTTTAATATTTTTTAAAATATTATTTCCATAGGCACTTGGGCTAGATCAGAGAGGAACTAGTGAACACTTTCTGTATGTACTAATTTGTAGGGCTAACTGTGCATATATACATTCTTTCCAACCAGGGAAAACAAAGTGTATGATGAAGTCATCAGACTGTGTCATCAAGCATGCTGGTATATACAGTACTGGCCTTGCTATGGTGGTAAGCTGCTTTTCATGTCTTAGTTAGTAGGTTTCCAAAGATAAGGTAAAGCTATTTTAAGCAATATTTTAATGTTTTAAAAAGAATTTTTATTAATTCTTTGAGAATTTCATACAATATATTTCTTTTATATTGATCTCCAGCACTTCCCAGATTTATCCCCATTTATCTACCCAAGTTTGTGTTCTTTTTTTTTTTTTTTTTTTAATCCCGCTGAATCCAATTAATTTTGCCCAAATACTTTTAGGTATAAGGCCTGCCCTGGAGTATGGTCAGCCTTCTAGGGTCACATCCTCCTATCCTAGAAACTACCAAATACCAAGGGTGGGACTTTGTGTTCACCTCACCTCCATGCTGGGATCTTGCTGGCTTTGAGCTTGCACAGGTTTTGTGTGTGCTCTCCAAGTTGCTATGGTTTTCTTTTTGTAATTGCCCCGTTGTGTCTGGGGTACACCTGTTTCCTCATAGTTCTCTACCACCTCTGGCTCTTACACTGTGTCTATGTTAGAGCTCCCAGAGCCTGGGATGGAGGGATATGTTATAGACATCTTTTTGCACTCTGTCGTTCTGACCAACTTCTATTTTGTGTTAATTACCACTTATTGAAAGGAAAGAAGCTTCTGTAGTGAGGTTGAAGAGATGCACTGATCTATGTATATAGCAGTAAGTCATTAAGAATCATTTTAATTCTTTGTCCAATTAGAATTGTGACCTATGCAGCCCTCTTGTCTCTAATAATAGTGCCAGATAACAGTTCCATCTCCTGGAATTGGCTTTAAGTTCAATCAGGAGTAGTTAGTTATTCCTGTAACATTCATGCCACTGTTGCATCAGTGGGCATATCTTGCCAAAACAGTCAATAATTGTAGCTTATAGGATTTGTATTTGGGTGAGACTAATGATTACATTTCCCCTCTGGTAGCGTGCATAGCACTTCTGGCACTATGAAAGCTAGTCAGGATGGAAGAAGCTTTCCAGTCTCTCCCCACCTGAAATGACAGTGCTTTCTTCGTAATTTTAGTTATTTTTAGTAATTTTAGTCATCCAACTAAAGGTACCATGTACCTTGCTAAAATGTTCAAACAGACTTTATTTAAAAAATGTCCTGAATTTAAAAGCTCATCAACATTCAAGCTTTTTGGCTAAATAAGTTTCAAAAGAATTTAGGGTTATTTTTTTAAATATTAAATTTGATAAAAAATATGTATTAGTTATATATTAGATAGGATTTTGTGAGGAATTTTAGTGCCATAAATAAAAATAAATGGATTATTTGATGTGTTTTGCTCTTTTTCACTAAAAGATTTTTAAGTATGAGCTATGAGTTTTGTTATATTCTGCAGTGTGATTTATGCTTCATGTCCAAATTACATTCTGTGAGGAAAATAATATTGGTTTTATGTATATTATTTATGGTAATTTCTCTAACCTGGAATTTTCTCTGGGACAGAGCTTTATTCTCTCAGGCATGAGGCCTTTGCCCATTCTTTCTTTCTGTGCTGATAACTACTTGCTATCTTTCCTTGTCCCTTCATATGTGTGGGGAGGGCAACTAGACTATTCTCTGATGTTTTCTCTGAGCCCTTTGCTGAGTACTGTGAGTTTGCTGCCTTAAAGTCTTCTGGATTACCTAGTTGAGAGTTCCATCTTCTTGCTAGAATCCTGCCTCATCAAGGGGAGATACATGTAAGGTTTTCTGTACCTGGTATATCAAGTCAGCCATTTCCTCCCACTTGCAGGCTTTTGTTTTTTGTTTGTTTTTGTAACAGCCTTCCTAGTTGCAGTGTTCCTGCGATAGCTGATCTGAGTTCCTGTGTCTGTATTGTAGGGTGCAATATGTGACTTCTGTGAAGCTTGGGTTTGCCATGGGAGGAAGTGTCTGAGTACCCATGCTTGTGCCTGCCCACTCACTGATGCAGAGTGTGTGGAATGTGAACGAGGGGTATGGGACCATGGTAAGTGACTAGGTGCAAACATGTCTTAGTTACAAGTAAATGCTCTTTCTCTCTCTCTGTCTCTCTCTTGCTCTTCCTCTCTCCATATGGATACTTTGAGATCTTTAATAACCACTGGTAAAATTTCAGTTTAGTTGGGAAGGGATTATACTAGCAGTATCAGTAAGTTCCAGTACTATTCACTCAAGCAAGGAGGGGAATTTTGGGGAAGACAAGCAGCCTTGTAAGTGGCAGGAGATAGTGGAGGCCCACAGTTTAATAGTTCATTTTGAAGTTCATCAGAATTTTATTTTAGCTGTTGCCACATAGTATTGATATACTTCTGAAATTAGTTGCCATCTTTGACAAGTTATATGAATAAGGATTTTTAAAGTTATTAAGTTTGCCATATTACATTTGTGGGTTTTATTTTATAATCTTACAGGAGGCAGAATATTCAGCTGTTCATTTTGCCATAATTTTCTCTGTGAAGATGATCAGTTTGAGCATCAAGCCAGCTGCCAAGTTTTAGAAGCAGAAACATTTAAATGTAAGTTGTTTGTTAGTCGTTCTTGTACCTAGGATTCTGAATAGTATAAATGTGAAACTCAATTAAAAAGGAGTAAAAATTTTTATGCTACCTCTTAATGTGCTTTTGCACATCTGTAGTGTATGTGTTGTTGTATATTTTGTTTATAGGAAAAAATAAAACCAAACATTAGCACTGAATTTTTTCTATGGGGATAATAATGGTATATTGGCCAAGCAGTTCTTCATTTTGTGGCCTTAACTAGACATTGGTGTTCTTATAGCATTCCCTGTCCTGTGTACCAGCTTGGCACCTTCAGGTTCCTATACCAACCAAGCTTAACCGTCTCCTTCCCTTTCTCAGTGCCTTCAAGTGATCCCACTCCTAGTTCATCTCTAACAATGCAGAGACTCAGGTTTCTTTCCTAGAGAGCTTGTCTTACTTGTGGGTTGGTTATCTGAGATCTGTATTGAACCTCTACCCACACTTTTCCAGTTGAGAACTGCATTTTCCAGTTGAGAACCAATGTTACTGATTGGGTTAGTAGTAATAGAATTATCTTACAAATAATTTCAAAAGGCTAATTGAAAATGAGAATATGCATAAAGTAGTATTCATCAATTAGTAGTTACCATCCTAAAGAAAGGACTAACAATCTCAGCTACTCGCTTCCATCATATGGTTCTTATTCTGGGATAGTTGCTAATTCTATCACTTACATACAGATTTTAGTTGTTCAGTCACTGATGTGACATACCTACTGCACACTATAAAATTCAGTATTTACAAAAAAATTTTAATGAGTATTTCAAAGTAAATTCCACGCCCCACCCCCCTTAGGCTTTTGCAGAATGTATAGGGTAAAAATAAAATTATCTGTGAAGGAAGCCTAGGTGCTTTGTGTGTTCACAGTACATGAACCCTGCAGGTCAGCAAGTGACTGATTCCGCTGTGATGCCATTGAGAGAGCACCCAGTGATTGAATAAGTGGCTCAAGTAATATGCAAGGTCTGAGTAACTGACAGGATTTTAAAGTGACTCTTGTCTCCCACAGGTGTTTCCTGCAATCGACTTGGCCAGCATTCCTGTCTCCGATGTAAGGTGTGTCTGCTACTGTTTCATTGGGAGTTTGATTTGACTCCCTGTGCTCTTGCTTCATCCTTGGATTCTTACAGTGCTGATACATATGGAGCTTAAACCTTCTGTGGCTTTTTCTTATATTTTCTTAATTAATGAACTAGTTAATTAATTGACACTAAGTCTTGTGTGGTCCAGGCTGGCCTGAATTCACAATAATTCTTCTGCCTCTACCTCCTGAGTATTGAGGTTCCTGGCCTAAACTGCCATGTCTGGCTTACTCTTTTAGTTTTGAGATTGTGACATGGAAGTTGCTGATTTTGTAGCTTTCCAATGGTCACCCGCTTTTCTTGTAGTAGATACATCTACCCCAGGGTCCCAGCTCAGTGTTGTGTATGTGTGTATACTGCTTTGAGGAGTGTGAGTGGTAAAGATCTCCATGATGTTAACTTAGGCCATTGCCAGCATGCCTGTTATTCAAAGGTCACTAGACAGATAATAACATCTCAGAAACACTGTTCTTGTCCTTAACCTTTCTTGTCTGTATCCTGTCTTAATTTTTTCCTGGTTCTGCATTAGTGCTACAGAATTCCTTTCAGTTTGTCAACAGTACTCATACTGTAGTGCTTTTAAACACTGTTTTCTGCTACTTAGAACATGTCTGTGCTCACTTTACCATGTTCACCTTGTGATGTCGGCTAAGATCCCATGTTGTTCAGTGGTCCTCTGCATTTCTCTCAATACTCAGGACATTGAAATTGCTTTTCCACCCCTTAGTTGAATGGTGGTGTACTCTAAAGATAAACTACCCACCATTTTGTTATCAAGAACCTCAAATATGAACAAATCAATAAGCCACTTTCTATGTCATCCTGTCTATAAGTGTCAGCCTTGTTGGGACCTGTTTCAGAAGAGTCCTGGCAAAATCCATTCCCTTTAAGAAATTGAGATCAAGAACATGTGACTACTCCCAGTTCAATTCTTAACTCTGCCTTAAGCAAAAGTATTTGTACATTTTCTTGGAATTTTGGATATTATCTTTTTATATCTTTTAAATTAAATATTGCCTCATTTCTGTCTCTATTGAATAGGCTTGTTTCTGTGATGAACATACAAGGAGCAAGGTATTTAAGCAAGAAAAGGGGAAACAACCTCCTTGTCCTAAATGTGGACACGAAACACAGGAGACAAAGGATCTTAGCATGTCAAGTAAGGCTACCAATGAGTGGTTGGCTTTCATGCTTAGAATAAATTTACTGTTTTCTATTCTGTGTGTGTGTGTATGTCTGTACCAGAGATAACTTCGGGTGTCATTCCTCAGGAGGCTACTGAGGCAGAGTTTCTCTAAGCTAGGCTGGCTGGCAGGAATCTTCTAGTGTCTGCCTCCATAATGCTAGGATTATAAGCATGTGCTACTACACCTAAATTTTTATGTGGGTACTGGGGATTGAATATGGGTTCTCTGGCTTATGTGGCAAGAACTGGTTGTCTCAGTTTCTTTTCTGCCACTGTGGTAAAATACTGTAATGAAAGCAATTGAAGGAAAAGGGGTTTATTTTAGCTTTATAGTTCAGGTCAGCACAGCGGAGCTTGAAGCAGTTGTTCACATGTCCACAGTCAGGAGAGTAGTGAATGTATGCTGGTGTTGAGCTTGCTGTCCCCTTCTAAATAGTCTAGGATCCCTGCCCAGGGAAAGGCTCCACCACAATTAAGATGGTTCTTCCTACAGCGTTTAACATAATCAAGGTTCCCCCAGGCGTGCTCAGAGGCCTATCTCCCAGGTGATTCTAAATCTGTCAATGGGTAACTAACAGTCAAATTGATGGAGCTGTCTGTCTCCCAGGCCTGTTGTGTGTGTGTGTGTGTGTGTGTATGAACCCTTTTTTTGTTTAAAAAGATATATGTATTGCCATAGCAAGTGGGGTTTTAAAGCCTTGGAAAATGTGTGGTACAGTTTTCAATTTGATACAAGAAACATACTGATATTCACCGAGGTTTGGTGTTTCCCTCAGTTTTTTGTGATTATCCTGTATAGATTTCTGTGAGAAAATTAGAACAATACTTCTCTTTTCATCTAAGAGTAAGCAGTGTAACAGTATATCCTGTGGCACTGGGATGTATAAGCATTGGCACTAACTGATGACGTGTATATGTCTGTCTCTTATAGCACGCTCCTTGAAGTTTGGCAGGCAGACTGGAGTTGAAGAGGGAGATGGCGCTTCTGGGTATGATGCTTACTGGAAGAACCTGTCATCTGACAAGGATGGAAATACTGGGTACCCTGATGATGAGGAAGAGGAGGAAGAAGCAGAGGATGATGAAGAGGAAGAAGATGGGAAGGACTCTGATGCTGAGTCATCAGATCTATTCACTAATTTGAATTTAGGAAGGACCTATGCCAGTGGCTATGCTCACTATGAGGAGCAGGAGAACTAGGAGCAGTTCCTTGTTGGCACTCATGAGAAGAGCAGACCAAATCATAAGGATGCTCACCAAAAGGCTAGTCACACTGGGCGCAGGACTAGTTTCTAGCAGTTTAATAGGAACTTCTAGACTTCTAGAAGTTTGGACTTCTCAGTGTAAGAAAAATGAATTGAATGTAAGGCATATGGAGTATCATGGATTGGATTATTAACGATTTCAATAATCTGGTAGGTTTTGCCAGTTAGATACATATAAAATACATGATAAAGGAATAGAAAGAAAATATATTTATTTGAAATTATACTGTCTTTATTAAAAGCACTGCTTATAAATTCATGTATCTGATTTTACAAAGTATAATGGGTAAAATTACTGTATTCCTCTTCAATTCGTATAAGGATAGTCATGCTGTATTGTGAATTTCGCTGACTTTTCATGCTGTGTTAAGTAGTCTTTGTGCATTAATGGTTAACCTGTTCATCATTTTCTTACAGTGTATGTCCTCACCAGTGGTTAATGTCTCAGTGACAAAAATCTAGCTGTTTCTGTACACATAATGTCAGGACTAGTATTACTGATGCTTCACCCAGGGAATCTCAATTTTAAAATAAATTTAGTATTATACTTGAATACTTTCGATACTGAGTTCTGGTTATGTTTTATCAACTTAGTTTGGAAAACATGTATTTTTCTACAAAATGATAAAGTTTTGACCTAATATTGGGACAGTAATCTAAGATTAATTACATGCCACAATGATTAGTAATGTAGACCCCATTTTGGTGGTAAGTGGAAAATTGGCAGTCCCTGGCACAGTGACCTAGGCAATCACACTTAAGTGGTTAGCTCAGCTTCTCTTCTGCCACTGTGATAAACTAATCCTACCAATGTGGCTCAAGAAAGGTTCACTCTGTCTTACTGTTCCAGAAGGATTCAGTCCACTGTGGCAGGAAAGCATAGTAGCAGAAGTGTAGATCAGCTGTCATCCTTCACCAGCAGTCAGGAAGTAGGATGAGGCAATAAGACCTTATGGTCCACCATAATGCACTTGGGCTCTTCCTCATAAAGGAGCCACAACCTTCCCAAATAGCACCACCCACTGGGACCAAATTCCAACACAGGTGTCTAGGAGGATTTCACGTGGAAACCACAACATTGGAAGAAGGGAACCTATTAGCCTGCTGAATTATGGGTGTTTGGAGAAAATTTGGGTGACAATTTGTGTGTCACTGTTTTTGTAAGAACAGCAGTGGATAGTGGAGGACGTTATGAGCTACATGGGGAAGCCAGAGAACCTCTGGCTTGATAGGAAAAAGGCTTTTCCTGTCCTGCCAATCCAGAGGAGTGTATTACACGAAGATCAAGGTACTCTGGGAAACCATGAGCAACTCTTGACAGGTTAGGCTGAGGCATGTGGGTGCTGTTGAAGATCTTCAAGGGTTATGAGCCTCTAAGGCAAAGGCTTTCCCAGATAGCATGCCCTTTTAGTATGGGAGCCTGTGCAGCTCAAATGAAACGCAGGGAGGCTCAGGACCTGAGAAAGTACAGAAGCTATAAGAAGCAGGCATTGGAAGAGCCAGAGGAATGTGTAGGAGGATCAGAAGAGAAAATGTGGTGGCATTATCTCTGCCACAGGTTCTAGATTATGCAATAGTTATTTTGTTAGAGGATTTAACACCGTGATTAAGATCCTGGGAGGTGGTCTGAATTCATCCCCAGGATGACTTCCAGAAGCATGGTTAAATCAATAACCCATTTGTGGTTAGGCTTTCTGAGGTGGGTTGGAAAGGAAAGGAAATGTTGACAGAGGGCTAGCAAGGTGGATCACTGGCTAACACCAAGACTGATGCCCTGATTCAATCCCTAGACCCCACAAGGTGAAGGGAGAGAACTGATTTCTGCAAGTTAAGTCTTCTGACCTCCATATGTGTGCAGCATGTGCTCCCCTTACCCCTGTCATGCACACAAAAATGTATTAAAATACTTATAAGGTTGGGTGTAGTGTGCATGCTGGAATTGATTGGCTATCTAGCTGAAATAGCTACCAGATCCTCAAACTCCACGAGAAGGTTCATTGGACATCATTCAACAGAGCAATAGAGACATGCACAGAAAACAGTTTAGAAAGCTCTCTGTAGGCTAATTTGGCTACCGGGAAAAAAGAACGCACTGTACTGAAAGCATGTTAGACAGAAATAGTGGTTAAGGGGTATGCCCAATTGCCCAAAGTCAGGGTTACAATATGACTGTTAAGAACTGCCAAGGAGATCTAACCTATAGGTTGATAAGGCTTAGTAACCTACAGGTTGCTAGGGTTGTGTGACCAAACAAAGGGTAAAATCAAGAAGACCACTTACATCAATAGACAAAAGTATGGATAAAATGATAGGAAGGCTGGGGTTGGATCTCCATTAACATTCTAGTGTGAAGTGGTTCAACTCATGAACCAAAATAAATCCTCAGTTGCTTCTTATCAAGTATTTGGTCATAATGATGATAAATAATTAGTCCATAATAGTGGAGAAAAGACCAAAGGGTATAAAAACCTTTCAAGGTGTTGTATCTGTTTGCCATAATAGAGTCTGCATCAATACTGATACTCAAAACTATCTGTTTCTGTGAGTGTGTGGGTGGAGACCATGACTGGAGGAGTTTTGGCTAAATTTAAACTTAGAATTTTTTTTTTAAACTGGATTTGTAGATGACTGAGAAGGAGCCCCTGAAACTGACTACTTCTGTTAGTTTCTTTTTCTTTTTTTTTATTAATTTTTATTTTTTTATATTAATCACAGGTTATTTACCTTGTTCCCAGCTGTAGCCCCCTCCTTCATTCCCTCTCAATCCCACCCTCCCTCTCTCATCTCCTCCCTGCCCCTTTCCAAGTCCACTGCTAGGGGAGGTCCTCCTTTCCTTCCATCTGACCCTAGCTTATCAGGTATCTTCAGGACTGGCTGCCATGTCCTCTGTGGCCTAGTAAAATTGTTCCTCCCTGGGGAGGGGGAGGTAAAGGAGCCAGTCATTGAGTTCATGTCAGAAATAGTTCCTGTTCCCCTTAATAGGAAAACCCACTTGGATACTGAGCTACCATGAGCTACATCCGAGCAGGGGTTCTAGCTTATATCCATACATGGTCCTTGGTTGGAGAAACAGTCTCATAGAGGGTCCCTGTGCCCTGATAAATTTTGTCCTTGTGGAGCTCCTGTCCTCTCCTGATCATATTAACAACTCTTTTTATTGTAAGATTCCCTGCATTCTGCGGAAGGTTTGGTTATGAGTCTCGGCATCTGCTTTGATCATGTGTTAGTTTTGTATCATTGTAGCAAAATACCTGACATACTCAATAGAGAAAAGGCTTTCTTTGATTCATGGTTTTGGAGGCTCTGGTCCATGGATGGTTCCCTTTGATGCTTTGTGTCTGCAGAGAGGCAGAATGTCATGGTGAGCATGCATGACTGAGCAAAACCTCTAAACTTAGGACTGGGAAGCAAAGGAGAGAGAGGAGCTAAAGTCACATTTTACTCTTCAACATTACTTTCCCAGTGACCTAAAGATGTCCCACTTGTCTGTACCTCTTAAAAGACTCTACCTCGAAAAGTAGCACCTTGAGAGACAAGCACATGAGTCTTTGGGAGATATTCAGTATCCAAATTATAGAACCATTCCTCTATGATCCTGTCACTATAGCCAAGGGTGGTAAAGTGTCACCAAGAGTGACGGTAGAGCATGTTGTTTCTTTTGGGGACATAAATGATGCAGAGATGATGGTCCATTTTATCTATACATCTTGCATCTGGGGTCTGGATACCTAGAATTTTGTGTCTTGAGAAGACCTTGGGCAGAGGACCTAGTAAGTGCTCTTTTTATTAGAAATTGTACCTACCACCTCAGTATTTATAGCTCTTTATGTCTAGGGTATGAAGAAAAATAGAGAACTCAGTGTCTTGGCAGGGGTGAGTGACTATCTCCCAAGGAGTGCAGACCTGGTGGAGGAGGTGGAGAGTGCTCCAGAGGATTTTCAGGTTTTCTACATATGCCTATGAATAGTCATCAGTGGACATGTCCAATGAATCCAGCCTGTGAAAGGCATAATGTTGATGAAGGTTTGAGTCATGGCGCCAGATAAGCCACCAAAATCAGCACACTTGGGGGCCATCAGGCAGCTTCATGGTTGGATTCAGCAGCAGAGTGCTGCCCTGAATGAATATAATGTAGTGTTAGGTGACATATTTGGCTGTTTTGCCTCAATATGGCCAGCTATGACAAATAACTATTAAATTAATAGTTGCACAGCATCTAATCACTGTCACTGGAGTACATGAGTAAATGTATTTTGTGTTTGGTTTAGCAAACTGATTTTTTTCTGAAATATTGTATTGATGTATTTGAGGGTAACCTTCATAACTCACCCATAAGTCTCTGCTCCCACAGAATGTATTAGTCTATGTCAGAAAGTAAATAGACCAAAGCAGGCACTACTGTGCTCTATAGGATGACGCTGTTTACTTATTAGCTATTCAAAGAATGAATATTAAATTCTAAACATATTTTGTGGGATCAGAAATACTCAGTGATAAATCAGACATACTAAATATTCATCATAAGGATTTAGAGCAAAAGAACAACATACATGTATGCAAATGGGGCTTTGAAAAAGAGATTTTGTGCAATGGCAAAATAGTACACTAAGTGCTAACTCATAATCCAACATGCGTAGCAAAGAACTGCAGTTTTACTTTAAATCAAGGTAGGGGTTCAGTTAACATTTGCCAACACCTATTGTCAAAATACAAGAGACACAGTTCCAAGATGTCAGTGACCAGTTTGTACTGTATCTGAGGGGCAGAAGATTAGAGACTGTGAGTCTGTGAGTAGAGAGGTGACTGGATCCAAAACACTGACTTTGGTGTTTCTCAGACCTGAGGGGACATCCAGGGAGTAGGGTACTAATGGATCCAAGGAGTTGGGGGGGGTGAATGGATCCAGGGGGCCCCATGGTTGACTCCCAGGTCAAGGAGTCACAGAACTGTGAACCCCCTTCTTTTTCCAAAAACTTGGGAGAGTACAGGCCTTCCAGACCCAGGTACCCTCAGCTCCAGCAGCCAGACATGAGATCCTTCCTTTTTCCCCCAGGGCAGCATCTAGATTCCTGGGACAACATCCCAACCTCTAAATAATGGTTCTTCTGCTCCCCCTGTGGAGACCAGGTGGACAATAAAATCATATGGATTCAAGACGGCAAAGCCCAGACAAGTCTTGAGTTCTAGGAGCACGGTGTCTGATAGGCCTGTGAGCTGCAACTCAGCTGCCTGGTGAGGCACCAGATCCCCCATAATTGCTATTTGGGACACAACACACTGCCCACCCCCCTCAGCTCCTGAAACTTCCACCTGAGGCACCCTGTGCCCCCTCAGTTATGACCTAAGATGCCCATGACTGGCCCTTCAAGGCACCTGTGCTGGTGCCCCTGCCATTCAAAGTACCTATGCAGGTAACCCATGCCTTTCAAGGCATCTGTCTTTCAGATGCATTCTGCATTCTGTCTTCAGAAATACTCACACCAGTGTGGCTACATCTGAGACACCAGACCTCATTCATCATCCTGAAGACTACTCCAGACGAGAGACAGGTAG